AAGAAAACTTCCAGCCCAGAAGATTTTACTGGTAAATTTTACCAAGCATTTAAGGAAAAAATAATGCTATTTCTACCCAAACATTTTCTGAAAATTGAGTGAGAAAGAATAGTTCCCAACTTCATTTATGAAGCCAATATTACTCTGCTAACAAAACCTGACAAAGACATAATAAGAAAATTAGCAGACCAACATTTCTAAGGAACATTGATACAAACATTCTAAAAAAAATTTTAGCAATTTGAAGGGGCTAAAATCAAGGTAACAAATCATGACTAAGTGGAGTTTATCATAAGAATATAGGATTAGTTTAGCATAAAAAAATCAATGACATTCCACAGATAAAAGAGATAAATTCAACTTCATCAAAATTAAAAATTTGTTCTTCAAAAGACACTTTAAAAGAATGAAAATAAAAACCACAGACCAGAATAATATATTTGCAAAGGATCTATATAATAAAGGAGTTTTTCTGTAATATACAAAGAGATTTAGAAGCTCAGTTATATGAACATAAACATCCTAATAAAAAAATTAACAAAAGACTTGAATAGATACCACCAAATATATACAGATGACCAATAAAATAAGCACATAAAATAATGCTCAGTATCATTACTCATTAGGGAAATGCAAACTAAAACCACAATGAGATACTACTATACATTTTTAGAATATATAAAAATTTAAAACCTGGAAATATCAAGTGTTGACAAAGATATGGAGGAACAGGAACTCTTAAAATCTATAGTGACAGAAAACAAACCATTGATTGCCTGGAGGAGAGCAGCAGGAATGATGGATTACAAAGAGGCAACCCCCTCAACCACCCATCAACATCTACAGACCATAAGGAAGTCGAGAAAGCTACTTGTGTCCCAAAGGGCAAAACATCTAAGAGCTTCTCCAAATGTGGCCAAGCCAGGTAATGAAAAAGAGGCACATTTCATAGAGGAAGGCTAGGAGGTATGGCAAAAATTGGACTTAGAAATTACATTTAAGATGTTTCTAAAATAAAGGAAAACAGGTGGAGAGTTGAATACATGAATCAGATACTCAGGAAGAGATCTGAACTAGAGATAAAATTTGGGAGTTGTCAGCAGCTAGATTGCATTAGAAGATGAGTCTGCAAAGGACACAGGAATGGCTAGATATTTGGAAAAAATCCCTGAGTAAAATTTTAATGTAATCTCACTTTTGCTGTCCTCATTACTTATTTCTTTTGCGTCACTTCCATTTCTCTAGCCTAGAGACTAATGTGCAAGCATCAGAGCCTGCTGGGTCTGCCCCTTACTTTAATATTTGCTGGATTTTCAGCACAGTTTGAACAGTGACTCTCCCTTCCTAATTCACCTCTGTATGTCCAGAGAGGACAGTAAACCCCATCACATGGGAGAGAGACCTACAACGCACCTGCACATTCCTTCACCTTGGTTTTTACCTTGAATTCCCTTTCTTCCACATACGCATTCTACTTTGTGCTCTGGCTATATCAATAATTGTTTTTTATACATTTCGAGTGATACATTAAAGGTTTATATAGGTATTAAAAATAAAGAGCTATAAATACAATGAAGATCTGTTTGTCAACCTCTCAGTTTAGGAAAAAGAACTTTACAATTATCTTTGAAGTTTTCTTGTGCTTCTCCCCAATTCCATCTCATTCTCTCCTTCCTCAGAGATAACAACCAGACTGCATTTTGTGGTTCTCAGCAAATGAGGAATAGAAGGAAACTTCCTCAAACTGATAAAGAGCATCTACAAAAAACTACCGATAATATCTATTGTGTCCATGCTTCTCTCTATAATTTTATCAAGCATGTTTGTATTCCTAAAAAAAGTTACATTTTGCATGTATTTTTATCTTCATATAAATAAAGTTATTATTCTAATGTGTTCCTGTGCTCAATATTATGTTCCTGGGATTTGTTATGACATTTCATGTAGCTGAGAACTACTCATTTCTTCATCTATATTGTATGCTAAGGTATATCACAATTTATCTATTCTGCTTTAGCCTTATTCCATTAGTTTTGATAGGTAGTATTTAGTAATTTCATTATTGTTCAGGTCTACGTATATTTAAATACCAATTGTGATTTTCGACTCATGAACTATTCAAAAATACACTTAAATTTTTTTTTAAATACCTGAAGCTATTTATCTTTTGTTACTGACATTTCTGTTTTCATGGAATATATATTATCATAGTCTTTTCTGTAGAAGTATAACATAAAGCACATATGTAATTTTAAAATGCTTAGTTGCCACATTAAAGACTAAAAATAAACACGTAAAATTAATTTTAATAATTTATTTAACCCAAACTATCCAAACTATTATCATTTAAATATGTAATTGTCTTAAAATGTTATCACGGGTATTTTAGATTTTTTGTACCAAATTTTCAAATTGGTATGTATTCTACATTAACAGTACATCTTAATTTGAACTGGCCGCATTTTAACTGCTCAATAATTACGTAAGGCTAGCGGCTACCATGTTGAGCAATGCAGGTTATATTATAACAATTGTTTGAAATTAGCTAAAACTTAACTTTTTGTCCTAGAAGTGGTCAATTTCATGTGAGCTGGAAAATAATGACATGTTTATCCACTAATTATGTACAAGGTTCTATATGTGAACCTTAAATCTATCTTAGGAAACTTCAGTCTTCTATATCTTTAATGAACTATTTCTTTGCTTGATCCTGGATTGCTACATTACACAACTATAGTAAAGACATTCACATAACAGTCTGGAGTTGTACAGTTTATACTTTCACTGACATATGTGGTGGTCCTTGGCTGATTTGTCTATAACTGAGAAAGCTATGGTAGATTCTACCACTAAGGTGCAGATTTAAGAATTTCTTTGTACAGTTATATCAAATTTTGCTTTATATATTTTGAGGTTATTTTAATAGGCACATATAAGTTTAAAATATTTATAGTAAATTAAACTTACCATAATTATCAACTCTGAATAATGACTTTTGTCTTACAGTCTACTTTGCCTGATATTAGCATAGTTACCTACTTCCTTTTCCTAAATATATCCCTGATGTATCTTTTCTAAACCTTTCCTTTCAATATTTCCATGTCCTATGTTTTAGGAATCTCTTTTATAAAATGCATATAGCTAAAGTTTGTTTGTGTCAAATCTGTTTCTCTCTTAATTCATGAGTTTAGTTTATCATTATTGTGATTATTTAAGATTTTAATTTCTCTCTCTTTTTCTACACTATTTTCTCTTTTTAGGCTTTTTTGCAGAAAGGATTGTTGGACTTCTGTTTGTTTTCTTAGTACACTTTTTCACTAATAGTATATTTTGTTTTTATTCTTTTAGAGTTTACTCTTGAAATTTTGCCATGCATACTTAATGAAGTCTAAAATTAATATCTGAAGCTCCTCTCAAATAATGCAAGGGCCAGAGAACATTCAATTCAGATAACTGCTCTCCTTACATACATGCTACATTTTTGTCCAGTATTCTAGTTCTTTCTTATTAGTTTCACTAATTGAACGTAATTAAAAATATGTTATACAGGCAACATTTACTTCTATGTACCTATATACAGGGCTAGCTATAATTCTGGAAAGAGAAGTCTGAGAGTTTCTTTTTTTTCAATCACTTTCCCTCAAATGATATTAATATCAGGATTACCAAATCAAATGTGCCTTCTTATACTTATGGCATTAAAATTGTCTAGCCTAGAAATGTAAGCACTATTTTTATGGTAAAAATGTTTAATAATATAAGAGTGACACTAGAATAGAGCTCAAAAGATTAAGAAGCTACTACAATACTCTAGGTGGGAGATAAAGTCAAGAAACTTAACAAGGGTTTTGGTAGTAGGAAAGGAGGAAATAGTTTTAGATACCCCAAAGAAGCAGACTATACATAACTTGCTATTACATGGTTGTGATAGAACAAAGAGAAAGAAATGTCAGAGATGACTCAAACCTTCAAAGATGACTCTTGAAGGTTTTCAGAAGTCAGGAGGAAAGGAAAGATTGAAGAGGTGATATTTAATTTGGCTTTTGATGTATAGAATTATTGGTGTTGATGGGTCATTAGAGTGGAGGTGTTGAACAGGCAATTATAAATCAAAGTCACAAGTTTTTGCAGAAAGGTCAGAGCTAAAAGGAAGTGAGTGATGATGAAAAACAAAAGGATTAGGAGAAGGAATGAGCAGTAGAGAAGAATCACATGCATAGAACATAAAAAGAGTCACAGTGATTGTGCGAGGAGGAAGGGCCCCGATCATTAAGTGTGCTTTTGCTGCTACAGTGATTCTCTATCTTAATTTCAGTGCCCCTGTGAAATTTTCTCTTGAATTTCCTCCTGTCCTTACTTCCATCCAGAGGATTACAAGCTAAGCATTAAGACCTGCTTATGTAGATTAAGATGTTAAAGTGATCTTTATGTTTTCTAATTTCTGATATGTTTTATACTGTATTGCATCCCTGACATCACACATCTCTCTACTTAATTTGGTTTGTTCATATCAATATTTGAGATAAGTAAAAGGAAAGAAAATTTTACAGGTAAGTAAAAGAAAGGAACTGCCAACATGTATTGACTTTATGGCATATCCCAACATATTTTCCTTTTTTAAAAGGAACCAAATATTGTCTGGTGCTATTACAGAATTTACTCATATACTTTTTCAACCACAACTTACAACATTTTATTTTTTGCACACATGAATAGCCAGAAGACATTTTATTGTATTTGTGACTCTATATGTGGTTAGTATTTATTGCAAAAATAATGTCTTACTACTTATTAAGCAAAAATTAATCCTGGGAAAATATCATGTATACAGCACTTATAAACTGCTGTTAATAGTTCAAATGATATATAATAGCAGCATATATACTGCTAAAGAAAATAAACAGACTAAGTTGTGAAGTAATATATTCCGTGCCAGGAACTACAACTTATGAATTGCATTAGGGGTGAGTATTGACTCATTTGTTGGGTTTGATTTTCAGGGAATTGATGCTGATTTCACATCAGAAAAGCATTGAGCAGCTGCAGGAAACCCTTAGACAGAAGCTGCTGAGTGATGATAACTGGAAGGAGAAGGTAATGGTAGTGTGGTTTTCATCAACATGCAACCTATTTGCTTTTTAAAAATTCTGTCCATTTGTCAAAAGACTCTTCCAGATAGATTTCCTTGCTTCTATGCACACTTTTGATTCCTTCTAAAATTTCCTAGGCCAGACATGCTTATGGAGTGGGTCTTTTCCAAAATATTATACAGCATAATGGGAAATAAAAAATTAGAACACATTTTGAATTCTTGTAAGATAGCTCTTGGTTCTCATGCAAAAGCACATTTTTTTGCTTTTAAGTATTTTCTTATTTCCCCATTAACTGTCACAGTCTACATTTGATCATTTTCTTAAAACCAAGGAATAATTCTTACGACTTTTCTGCTTCTCTTAGAAGATAAAAGAATGGAAAATTACTTAAAATTATTCAGTTTTGAACTCTTGACATATTTACCCTGACAAAGTAAAATGAATAAGCATTTAGCTTGCTATTATTTACAGAGAAATGTTTGCTGTTAGAGTAAAAAAAAAATTGTATTGATTTTGGTCTTTGGACTTTTTTATAGTTTTCAAAGTTTCAACAATGAATATATATTACTTTCATAATTTTAAATAATAAAAGTAATATTAAAAAAAAATTTTAGTCCCTACCTTCTCAGGCCATCCACAGGTCTAGTCATTGAGTTAAAAGCAGTCTTCTTTCTGCCATAAACTTCTAGTACTCCTTCATTGATCCCTGGGCCCTATTCTACACACTGACCCAAAGCATTCCCAACTCATTCTTTTCCATGAGTGTTATCTATGCCTAGCACTGTCCTTCTGCCTTAGTTTTCTTATTATGTCTTAAATTTTACTCTAGAAATGGAGCTGGTTTCCAAAATTCTGATTGTTTGACTGAAGTCCTGACAACTTGTTTGGATTTTGTCAGATTCTTCTCCTTCCAGATACAACCCCATAACTTGTAACCTCAGCAACAAGCAGCGGCCTCCCTCAGACTAACTCAGGAATCCCTCACTCCACCATCCAGCATACTGAAACCTGTTAGGCATTCTTGCTGGCTCAGATCATTTTTAAATTTGTTGCTTTCATTTCCAATCTTCAAATCGTTGGCCATACTCAGCCAAAAGTAGCCGTCTAAAAATAAGTATCCCTTCCCTTGTCCATCAGGCTCCACAGTCAGGATATAATAAAAATAACCACTGTAACAATAGCACCCCATGGGCCAAAACAAAATTGGAGAATATGAACTAACATTGCTATTTGTGTCTCATTCTTATTTTGTTTTATTTTGTAACATAGGCCTTTTCTTTTTCTTCTTCTCTAAGGCCCACCTTCTTTAATTCTTTCTAATTTTTATTAGCCTCAGGGTATTCCATTGAGTGATCTGTACTTATTCACTTGCCCTATCCTTACCAATCTATGTTTAAAAATTAAAAAGGAAGATTATCAAGCCTATTTTGTGTAATCCAAAGTATTCAAATTAGGACAATGAAAGATTATTGTTTATCCATCCAACTAATAGAATAAACACTGTGGTTAACATCTAGTGAAATCATCTCTCATACCTACTCTTTAAGGGACAAGAAATTAAAACAACCTTTTTGGAAAGCAGTTTGTCGATATGTATCAAGAGATATTGTAAACTTCCCGTCTTTTAACTCAGAAATTTTACTAATGGAATTAACATGGATAGAGATTCAGGGAGTCATTCCTCTTCTAAACTCCTGAGCTTCTCTTAGTATGACAGAGTAAACTTTCCTGTTTTTGCTTGTGTAGAAATTTCCCATCACCATATTCACACCTCACTAGGGGTTTTTGGATGCACTTCACTGGAGAAAAGGTCTCTGTTTATGATTCCCTCCCTCTAGTACTTCTGTTCACTGTACCCTGTCCTTGAGGTGCTAACACAGAGTAGAACAAGTTAGTGTTACCATCTGACATGTAAAAGCCTTTATGTTCTTGCTTTATGCTATCAAGTTAATCTGGTGGTAAAAATAGTTCTATATAAAATTCTATAAGTTCTTGTTAAGACCATGATATCTTTCTAATGAATTAATTATACTACAGAGGTATTATGGCATGTATAATTTTATATAGTATAAATGGACATTTCATTTGGTTGAAAGGACATGACTTCTTGTTAATAAATGTTATCATTTAGCTAGCAGTAAATCAAGATCCAGACAAGGAAAGCCAAGGAATAATAATTATGCCTTGGCTGAGTTAGCTATTGAGACATGAATAAAAGTTCTCTAAAAGTCTTCTCATGAGAAAGGAGAATCGTTAATATGACATTGTCATCTTTTTCTTGGGTCACTGTACCTTTGCCAAAGAATAAAATGTTCTTTTTACAAATATATAATACACATAACAAAATAAACTTCATAGCTTAAATTGTTTTAACATGCAAAAAAGTAGATAGCAATTTGTGTTTGTGCTTAATTATTTTAGAGTATGTAAAAAGCACATAAGATCAATAGTTGCTATGCAACAAGGATGGCACATTTTAAAATAACTGCATATTTACTAATTGTCATGGATTTTTGTTTATTTCAAGTATTACTATTTGCAGAGAGCAAATTAATGTGCATGCTGAACCTTTAAAATTGGTTTTAAATGTACAATGTTGTTACTATTTAGTTAAAATTTTGTAATTAAAAAATCCTATAGCCACACTGCTTACTCAACTCACATTATTTAATCACTATAACTTTATAGCACAATAAGCAAATTCCAAGCAAATATTTTCTTAGATTATCATCAAGATATCACACTTAAGAACCTTTTTTTCGGCGGGGGATGGAGTTTCACTCTGGTTGCCCAGCTGGAGTGCAATGACATGATCTTGGCTCATCGGTTTAAGCAATTCTCCTGCCTCAGCCTTCAGAGTAGCTAGATTACAGGCATGGGCCAACACACCCAGCTAATTTTGTATTTTTAGTAGAAATGGGTTTTCTCCATGTCAGTCAAGCTGGTCTTGAACTCCCAACCTCAGGTGATCCGCCTGCCTTGGCCTCCTATAGTGCAGGGATTATAAGTGTGAGCCACCCTGTCCAGCCCCAAGAACACTTTAGAATTGCACTATTGACCTCATTTAAAATAGTACATAGAGCTTTTGAGAAACCAGTAGTTAAAGCAAACAAATAAAACCTTATTTTTTGGCTGAAGCAGCTGGATTGATAGTGAAAATGCAGGTAAAAAAAGTCTACTTCAAGAAATAGTCAATTTCAAAATTGAAGGGAGGCAAAAAAAAATCTCAAATTCCTTTTTGAAATGGAAAAACCAAATTTCTTAATGTGTTTTAGTATACTATTATTAAAGTAAAAGGAATAATTTCTGACATATAAAATATGACAGAGATGACATTGTTATTTATAAAATATTGATTTTAACTTATGAATAATAAACATGGCTAAAAGGAATATTGAGGACACTTTAATTTTTATATTTTTTAAAATGCAGTTTTAGAAATTGAATTAATAAAATCCAAAAATTTTAGATCTGGACTGGCTTGCAAAAATTATCTTATAAACCACTAATCTAGAAAACAAAAATAGTCTCCCATTATTAATGTAATTTTAATCATTATGACATTATTATTCCCATTTTGCACATTTTAAAAAAGACTTAGAGAAGTTAGGTAATTTGGCAAAGTTACAAAGGCAGGAAATGAGCTGAGAATCAACTTCCATGTATTTAAATACAAAGTTCAATATTTCTGCATTTGACCAAGATGGAGTAATAGGGACCAAATTTACTTTCCTACCTCAAACAAATAAAACAGTGAAGAAAAGATAGAAAACAATGATTTTGAGACATTGGACATCAGGAAATGAAGGAAAGTGATTCTTGGAAACAGAAGACAAACAAGGTGAGTTCTATGACTGCCATAACTTAGTGCTTTGAAAGAAATTTCAGGTCATGATGCAGGGAGTGGAAATCCAGTTTGAAACTGTTCGATTCTTTGGGTTGAGGGAACCTTGCAGAGTCCTGGGAGATCATGGTGGGTAAAGTTCACAGATAGTGTTCACAGGAGCAGCTGCACAGAGGAAGAACACTTTAGATCTACAAAGAGTCCTCCTTGTATATGTTTATAATCAATGTGTACATGTGGGGAAACTAAATAAAGCCAGGGACAGACCCAGCCAGAGAGAGTAATGAATACTCACACATGGCCAGTAATTTGCATTTCTATCAGCCAGACTAAAAAACCTGTAATTTATAAGGCCCTGGGTAGAGTGCTCAAAAGAGTCTTGCATCATAAGTTGAGAGTAATTAGCCCTACATGAAATGCTGATTTGATTCTGCCTAATATATTTTAAAAGGAATATCTAAAATAATCAAACTGATTTCAAAAAACCTAGAAACTTGCATCCTAGGACAGAGCTCAAGAATATTCAAAGGAATACAAAAAGATCTAGCGCCTAACAAGGTAAGTTAACAATGTCTGGCATCCAGTGAAGAATTGTCATCCATGGAAATATGCAAGAAAATAGAGCTGAAGTGAAAAGAAAAATCAGTGAATAAAAACTGACCCAGAAAGGTGCAGATATGAGAATCAGCAGAAAACACATTAAAACAAGTATGGTAACTGTATTCCATATGTCCAGAAGCTAAATAAAAAATGGACTATGTCAAGCACAGAAATGCAAGATACAAAAAAGACCAGTTACTGAATTTTGAGAGATGAAAACTAGATTATCTGAAATTAAAAGTACACTGGATTAGATTGATGGCAGATTAGACATTCCAGAAGAAAAGCTTAGTGAACTTGAAGACACAGCAATAGAAAAACTTTTCAAATAAAACAAGATATAATAGATTCTACAACAAAAACAAACAAACAAAACTCAAAAGGAACATCAGTGAGCGATGAGACACATTCAGGTGGCCCAATATAGGTGTAATTGAAATTCCTGAAGGACAAGAGACAGAAGAGGGAAAAAAAAATAAACTGAAGAAATAATGACTGAAAGTTTTACAAATTTAATGAAAACTAAACACCCACAGTCTTAAGAAACTCAACAAGCC